GAAGGAGGAGAAGAGAAGGGAGATTGGTGAGGAAGAAGGTGCCAGCAGCCATAGCCGACTTGAGGGTTGACCGGAGCGTTGACCGGGGTTTGACCACGTTGACCAAGCTTTGACCAAGGCGTTGATTGGAGCTGCTGACCACGATTTTGACCAAGCTGGAGTTGGTATAATCTCGCCGAGCCTTCAGCCTATCCCCTCGCCCTATGGATGTGCACTCGCCCTATGGTACTTGCTGAGTCTGAGTTTGTCTGTCTCTTCTTTCTGCATTGACTATGGATGTGCACTCGCCCTATGGTACTTGCTGAGTCTGAGTTTGTCTGTCTCTTCTTTCTGCATTGAGTCTCTTCTGTCGAGGTGATAGGACTCCATGTATGAAGGATAGGGCTTCGTTGACCAAACCCCTGCCGGCAAAGTAGGGCTAAAGACTGTGTTTGACGACCCGACTGTCCCGGAGGCCTAACCCTCCCAAGGACCGGTACTGACCGGCGGGCTGCTCGGTGTGGCACGGTAGGCCCGAAATCTGAGCTGTGGGCTGCACAACGGGCCGTCTACGTTTTGAGAAAAACTGCTGATCGCGTCGTCCTATCTGCGACGTTAAAGAATTCTTGAGGAGTTACGGGGGATCTCCTTAAATGCCTCCTAATCAGCAACAGGTTCTGTAGTGACGGCTGTAGTTTAGAGTCTAGGCTAGTGCCCCTAGTTGACAGGGTCTGAACCGGAGTGAAAGCCAGGTGGGTTTGACCGCAGGTGCTGCGCATCTGGGTCTGGATTGCAAGGACTATGGTTGCGAAAGCTTCCGTCGGCCGTGGTAACCTGGCTGGAACGAAGGGTAGGATTCTGTGGTCCGTAGAGAGTCAGTCAGTTAAGTCAGTTAGGGGGTAGACGTCTAAGTGGTGAGGAGTGGAACCGTTACTTGGTTGTGCATCGATCACCATGGTTGAGACGCGTACCGGAAAGAGTACCGCCCCTTATACCGCAGAAGAGGAGGCAAAGGCCGCCGCTATCTTGAAAGAGAGAAGAGAGAAGAAGGCGGCCAAGAAGAAGGCCCTGATGGAGGAACAGGCGGCGAAGATGAAGAAGATTGAGGAGGAGATGGCCAGAGAGAAAGAGAGGTTGAAGAAAGAAGAAGAGAAGTTACAAGCGGTAGAAGAGGAGGAGGAGATAGAAGAAGAGCCACTGGAAAGGAGAAGAAGGGAGCAAAGAGGGGAATCGAGTGGAACAAGAGATGACCAACTGGAGAAGAAGATCACAGAGTGGGTTGCAAATTTATCCCTGGGAGAAGAAGAAGAAGCGTTAATGTATGTACCCAGGGAAGAGCAGGAGGCGGCCGTGAAGGAGTGGGAGGCAGAAGAAGACCCCCTCAAGCGGCAGGCCTTGGAGGATGAGACGAGGATGGAGTGCAAGGTACGGCTCATGAGGGAGAGAAAAAGGAGAATGGAAGCAGTGAGTCAGGCAGCAAAGGAGTTGGAGGAGGTAAGGAAGCAGAGAGACCAGATGGCGACACAGGTGGATCTTCTGGGGAAGGTGGAAATCATGGCAAGGAACATCGAGCGCCTGACACAGGCCCAGGAAGAGCAATATCGGTTTATTAGAAGTCAGGACATTCCCCTGCGCTCCTCTACCGCCAACCCCCTGATCGCCCTGGAAACGGCCACCTGAGGCCCGGCCCCCTTGGCCCTGGCCTCCTCCTCTACCTTGCGACCTCCCTCCGGCAGCGACAGCAGCGTAAGTCCTCCCTTGACTGTCACTATTGTCCTCCTCCTCCAGCCCCACTCAATCTGCTCGTAGGGGACTTCCTCCACGCTACCCTCATTTAACGTAAGGAGCAAACGATCCTTGGTCTTGATCTGCCCCGAGATAGTGCGACCCTTCCACTTTTTGCCCTTATCCAGGTCCTTGTGCCAGAAAGTGGAAATTGACGCAGACCGTGCTTCGAATGCTACCACTTCCCTGCTGAGTGCATCGTAGGTCATGGTAGGTTGTTGGCTCTTTTCAAAGAAATGCCCGCGTAACTGCTCGGGCATAGCGCGGTAAAAGAGGTTGACTAGTTGGGTCTCAGTGACCCCATGATCAGGAACGGCGACCAACTCGTCCATAACGCCCTTGAGTGCCCTGGCACTCCTCCATTGACGAGAATGGATTGTTTGCAGCTTGTCTGAAGCTTTGACACTACTGGTGACGTCTGCAAACCGTTCTCTCAGCAACTTAAGGAAGTCACCGAGGGGCGTGAACGCGGAGTAGGCCACCAAATCATCATTACAGTTGGCGGCGCGACACAGGGAACGGGCGAAGCTTGCTGCTTCCTCCCTAAGAGCGTGAATGGCTATCAGGACATGTTCATCAGAGCTACGTTCTATAAGTGCACATACGTTTTAGCGTTGGCCTCCCAATTGTCAAAGTTCTCCTCCTTCTTCTCGCTGTAGGAATCGGGGAACTTGACTTTAACAGGCTCTCTACGAGGGCGTGCTTCCTCCCCCTTTGGTGCGGTCAGCCTGGCGCCGTCTATGGCGCCGGTACAGAAACGCTCCGTGCTCTCCAGGCGGGCCTTCACTTCTGAGCCCACCTGCATCACTAACTCCCTTGCGAACTCCCGGAATCCCAGCCGTATCGGAAACCGCCAAGCGGGAAGAAGGGGTCAAGGTCCCCCGCAAACCGTTCTGGTAACCGTTCACCTAATAGGGCTAATAGGTCACCCTATAGGAGAGGTGGTTGGCACCCAGGTCTGCCGCAGGGCCGACCTTGGGAGGATTTGGGCCTGGACCAGCGCGTCTGGCAGTAGCGTGTGGATCAGGGGCAGTGCTTATTTTGCGGTGACCCGGGCCACATCATTCGATATTGTCCAAAGTATAGAGAGGCCCGATGGGCTGCCCAACAGGCAAAAGGCAGCCGCCGGTAGGGGTCGCAACTGCCCCTACCATAAGGCCATGTGGGGAAATGAGCGCGAGCTGGCAAAAAACTCCCACACCACATGCGCCTATGGCAGAGGTTGTAGGCCGGTGCCCAGATAGTTGTCCAGCGACTGCTTGTGTTAGAGTCTCTCTAGGCACCTCTCTCACAGGCTTGGCTGATGAGTTGAAAGAGAGAATGCCCGCTTGGGCCAAGATGAAAAAGGAGAGTAAAGGACAGCTAGTGTTAGTAGATGTAGAAGTTTTCAGAAGCAGAGTAGGAGCCCTTATAAATTCAGGGGCTACCCGTAGTTATATTAGCCGTAGAGCGCTGAAGAAGCTGAGGCTAGGGTTAAAAGTCCAAAAGTTAGAAGACCCCATAGTAAGTCTCCTCGCAGACAACCGCACTATGCGTGTTGAGGACTACGTAGAGGGAGTCCAGGCGTATTTCCGCCTAGAGAAAGATGGGAAGGTGGAGAAAGTTCTCCACTCCCTGACTCTCCTCGTACAAGACGACGTTCCTTTTGATATAGTCCTAGGTATGGACTGGGGAGAGGCAGCAGGGGCCACACTCCACCTGAGAGAGCATGAGTGTAGGCTCCCTAGTCCGACAGGCGAGGTTCAGACTGCCCGTCTGTTCCATGCGTCAGGTGTAGACAATACCCTGGCACATTGCTGTCTCAATGCTCCTGTGTTCGCGCAACTATTGAAAAAGGAGAAATTAGAGGAGCAGCTCTTCATAGTTTACGTAAGGCCTGTCACTGAATCTAAGGAGGAGAAGCCCATTGACCCAGCTATTGCCAAGCTGCTGGAAGAGTTCAAAGATTTAGATGAGTCGCCGACAGGAGTAGTACTGCGGCCCATCCAGCATCGCATTGAGATTGAGCCTAGCAGTAGGACTCCCAAAGGAGCGGTGTATAGAATGTCCCCGCGGAAGTTGGAGGAGCTACGCAAGCAGTTAGAGGAGCTCCTAGAGAAGGGTTGGATTAGGCCCAGTTCGTCTCCATTTGGAGCACCTGTTCTATTTGTCCCCAAGAAGGAGGGAGAGCTCAGAATGTGTATAGACTATAGGGGTCTTAATGCTATCACAGTGAAGAATGCAGAGCCGCTGCCCCGTATAGATGATCTTTTAGACCGGGTGCAGGGATGCAAGTATTTTTCGAAGATAGATTTGAAGTCCGGATATCATCAGATAGGGGTTCATCCTGATGATCGGTATAAGACTGCATTCCGGACTAGGTATGGGCACTATGAGTTTATAGTCATGCCCTTTGGACTAACCAACGCGCCAACGACCTTTCAACGTTGTATGAATGACCTGTTTAGGCCGTGGTTAGATAGATTTGTAGTAGTGTACTTAGATGATATTCTAGTATTCAGTAAGACCCTCCAAGAGCATCAGGGTCATCTGAGGCAGGTCTTGGAGAAGCTGAGAGAAGCTAACTTCAAGATCAACCCGAAGAAGGGCGAGTGGGCAAAGACCCAAGTTTTGTACTTAGGCCACGTCTTAGACGGAGACGGCATTAAGCCAGAGGATTGCAAAATCGCAGCGATTAGGGATTGGCGTACGCCCCGCACGCTGACAGAGTTGCGATCGTTCTTAGGCCTAGCGAACTACTACAGGAAGTTTTGTGAGAAACTTCTCTACCATCGCTGCGCCCCTTCGCAGATTGCTAAGAAAAGAAACAATCTGGAAGTGGGATAAGGACTGCACGTCTGCCATGAAAAAGTTGAAGTAGGCGTTGATAGAGTATCCAGTTCTTAAGGTCGCCGATCCGTCCTTACCTTTCGTTGTTACCACTGACGCGAGCCAGTATGGTATAGGTGCCGTACTACAGCAAGACGATGGCAACGACTATAGACCCGTAGAGTTCATGTCTGCTAGGATGCCTTCAAAGAAGGTAGCGACATCCACCTACGAGAGGGAACTCTACGCTCTTAGGCAAACACTAGAACACTGGAAGCACTACTTGCTTGGGAGGCACTTCAAAGTCTATTCAGACCACGAGACGTTAAGGTGGCTGAAAACGCAGGCCAAGATGACACCCAAGTTGACTAGGTGGGCCGCCGAGATAGACCAATACGACTTTGAGCTCAAGCCAGTTAAGGGCAAGTACAATGTAGTTGCGAATGCTTCAAGTAGGAGATCAGACTACTTTGGGGCGATAGTCCATTATTTGGATATAGGGAAGGACCTGCAACAGAAAGTCAGAGAGGCATATGCTCAGGATCCTATCTATAGCGACCTCCTTAAGAGAGTAAAGGAGGCCCCAGAGACTGACCCACACTACCGCACTACAGAGGGTTTGTTGTTTGAGAAGACTGATGTAGTAGACCGCTTGTGCTTCCCCAAGAGTGAAGAGATTCGTAGCCTGATCTTAGGGGAATGTCACGATACAGAGGGACAAAGGGACACTTCGGTTGGCAGAAGACTCTAGCCAATCTGATGCGCGCGTACACTTGGCCAGGGATGAAGAATGACTGCATAGAATATGTCCGCAGTTGTAAAGTGTGCCAGAGGAACAAGACCACCACGCGTGCCCCCCTAGGTCTTCTCAGACCCCTGCCTATTCCTTACCAGCCCGGAGATTCAGCGTCCATTGATTTCATGGACACCGGCGTCAAGAGTAGGCATAGTAAGAGCCAAGTCATGGTCATAGTAGATAGATTTAGCAAGCATGCAGTTTTTGTTCCGTTGCCTGCGGAGGCACGTACAGAGTTAGTAGTTCAGAAGTTCTTTGATCATTGGGTCACGGGATTCCGCTGTCTATGGTTAGCGATAGAGACACCCGGTTCACTAGTCAGAACTGGCAGGAGTTGATGAGAGTATATGGCTGCAAGCTGTTGATGTCATCTGGCTGTCATCCAGAGACTAACGGTCAGACTGAACAAATGAATAAGCTCCTACAGCAAGTTCTGAGAATGTACATTAGGCCTGATCAGACTAACTGGGATGAGATGCTCCCAAAGGTAGCCAGTGCCTACAATAACAGCGTGCACCTGTCCACGTGTCGCACTCCCAACGAATTACACAAGTTCTTTAGACCGCGCAGACCGTTTGAGGGACTTAACCGGGATCAGATTCATAGCGTACCGCCCGGTACTAGGGAGTTTGCGTTACAGCATGAGAAAGAGTTAGCTACCGTTGTAGAGAACCTCAGGAAGGCCCATCATAGGATGATAGAGCAAGCCAATAAGCATCGTCGCCCGTCACAGTTTCAAGTAGGCGACTTAGTCTGGGTCAAATCTAAGGAGTTTGCTCCTGAGGAGAATATCTCACAAAAGCTATTGCCCGCGTATAGAGGACCGTGGCCAGTTCTAGAAGTTAAGGGCGGAGAGGATGGGCCATCCTATACAGTAGAGATTCCAGCGCACCTCCACACCTACCCCATGTTTCACGCATCAAAGTTATTGCCGTGTGTCATAAGTCAATAGTTTCCCTCCAGAAGGTCCATGATCCCTCCGCATATGGATGGAAGATACGACATTGACGGCATTGTAGGTGAGGATATAATCAGGACAGGGGGTAGAGATCGTCCTCAGAAACAGTACAAGGTTCGATTCGCATATCAGGAACCGGAAGACGACCGCTGGTTTACCAGAACTGAACTTCTAGAAACAGCTCCCGACATAGTCAGGGCCTACGAAAGAGATAGGAAAGGTAAAGGTCCTGCCTTGGACTGAGATATTCTCGGAGGACCTCGAATTTAGGCCGGCGGGAGTGAAACGGTTTTCACCTTTGCAGAGGCAGATGCAGATCACGGGGTTTGATCCCCAGACCTTACCTTACCCATGTATAGTATCGAGTTGACCCTTGGGTGCTTGAACCCGTGACCTGTGTTTCGTGAGTTGTTGTTTGTCTATCGTAGGACTGTGTGGACATAGGGATTYGATCTGTAGACCYGTCGAGTAGAGGTCYTAGAGAGTTCCAGAAGTCGTAGCTGTAGATGTCCTGAAGGGTCAAGGTCGTAGCTGCTACAGTCCTAAGAGGTCAAGGTCGTAGCTGCTACAGTCCCGAAAGGCCAAGTCCACAGACTTCCGGAAGGTCCGGAAGTGGCCTTTCGCAGCTTGCTCACGTTTTAGACTAAGGCAAGTGGGCAAGTGGGCAAGTGGTGGACCAACTGCAGTACGTTCGTAGTACGATAGCGGTATAGGTTAGCAGTGCGTCCCCAGGCAGTCAGCGGTACGGTCCAGTCAGTCCCAGTCCAGTCCAGCAAGTACCATGAGGGACTGAGTGTACCATGGGCCGATGGAAAGGGGCAGACCAATGAGTTACAGAAGTATAAATCAAGAGGCAGCGCACAGCCATTCATTCATTCCTGTGGAAGCCATGCGGAAGCGCTGCCACAGTGACTTGTGCGAGGTGGTCTGCAGAGGAGCCTGAAGTCGAAGTGGGCTGAAGGAGTTAGCGCAGCCATAGCTGCTTGTAGGGTAGTGTTAGTGGCGGCCATAGCTGCCWTAGCTGTTAGTGTAGTGTGTGTATGTGTGTGYGTACAGTGTGTGTGCRTGGGGTATCCAGKGTGATCCGGAGTTGAAGTGTGAGGYGAACAGTGGTGTGGGACACAGTGACAAGMGTTGCGATGTGTGGGTGCTGATGCACCAAAGCCTGTTGGAGCGAGATTGCATCTGAACTGTGTCTTGGTTTCCATATCTTCGAGCTTTGAGTTGGGCGCTATGCGCCAGTGTGATTCACCATCTGTTTGTATGCATGTGAAGTGACGAAGTATGTGAGTCTGATTGCACTGGTATCGGAGCTGGTACCCGCTACTCCATGCGCATCGCCGTTGTAGCAGGAGGGAGACGCGTGGGCGCCATAGCTGAAGTGCGCCACCCTTGAAGAAGAAGTCCGCCATAGCTGCGCTG